ACGAGGAGGAGGAGGAGGAGGCGGAGGGAGGAGGAGGGGGACGAGGAGGAGGAGGAGGGGGACCAGTGTAAACCCAAGACTCCTCAACGATGCTAGAAGAAACCCTCCTTCCAAGCTCTCTCTCTTCGCAGGCCCCTAGAATGGTTCATTTCCACTGAGGAAGTGCCCCGTTGGGAGACAAACGTTTGAAGATCATGAAGCGTGCCCAAAAAACATTCTCAGGACTCCAACGCCACGAATCAACTTGACTGTTGCGTCTTGACGAATCTGAATCGTGCCAGAACGCCGTTCCTGGGACTTCAACACCGCGAAGCAACGTAACTGTTACGCCCGGACAATCCTGAATCATTCCAAAACACAATTTCGTGAACGTTGACCATGTGAACCTCTGAAACTCTTGCAAATGTTGAAAACGAATGTGCGCGTCGATACGGCGAGACTCCCATCTTGAAACGGAGCTGCCCTCATCTCGTGAAATCCTCGCCAAGTCTTAAGACGAATGCGTGCGCGGCGCTGCAGCGAGAGCCACATGTTGAACATGGCCCGCCCTCAATCTGTGAAACGGCTGCAAAGCTTGAAGGCGAAGGTGCGCTGTGCTAAGGCGAGCACCTCACCTTGAAAACGACCTGTCCTCAATCCGCGAAGCCCTTCCAATGGTTTGAAGCGAATCTGTGCGGCGCTGAGGCGAGAGCCACATTTTGACAACGATCCGCCCTCCATCTGCGAAGCTGTTGCCAGGTTTAAAGCGGGAAAGGACAACTCAAGCGACACGCCCAGCCAGCCCTTCGGACTGGCCTCGGGGTGAAAAAGGAGGAATTACTTACAAGGCAAAGGAATGGAAGAGGAGGAGGAGGAGGAAGAGGAGGAGGAGGAGGAGGGAGTAGGAGGAGAAGCAGCAAAAGAAGCAGGAAGAAGAGGAGGAAGAGAAGACGGAGGAGGAGGAGGAGGAGGAGATAGAGGAGGAGGTGGAGCGTAGCCGAAGGAGTCCCACGTCCCATTCTACACATATCTGCAATGCCCTCCCTGCATCTCTCCTTGCGAGAGCACGCAGCACGGGCCTTCACGATGGCATACTTCACCTGCCTGGGGGCCTGAAAGGGAGGCCTGCTCCTCGGCAGAAAGCACCTTGATCGCAGCATAGTTGCGAGGCATGTCGTAATCCACGAATTGGAAAAGGGTGAGGTGGAGCGGGGACGAGGCATCATCGGAGCGAGGGGAACGAGGAGGGAGAGGAGTCGACTCCGACGGCGCTGGAGTTTGAGGCCCGCTTGCATACAAGGCCTGCTCTTCGGCAGTGATTACCCTGACCCCACTAGGGTCGCGGGGCATCTCATAATCAATGAAACGAAATTCAATGAGCTCGACCTCTCGACCGAGTCCGAGCAAAGAGGGGGGATCATGAGGGATCGGAGAGAGAGGTGGCTGAGGCGACACCAGCAATGGGATACCTATTGCTTCAGAGCCCTGAGCCTCACACAAGGGGTCGTCCTCCCCGACGTCTCGGCGGGCCGCCTCGATGGACTCACGAAGGGTGGGACGACGAAGAAGTGCCAGCTGCTGTCGTCCACGAAGAGGGAGCCTCAGAGCGATCTGCGCAGCAGGGACGAGCTCCAGCGCCCTCGTGCATGTTGGTGGGGAGCTGTGCCGTGCTGCCATCAGCCGATAGTGGTGGTAGCAAGCGATGAGAGCGGCAGGAGTCGGTCCCAGCAGCCCGAGCCGATGCCGGATCTCGCCTGGGAGATCTTCTCGAAGAGTGAGGGCACCGAAGTGTAGGCACCGATGGCACTCCGTCAAATAATGTCGCATAGTATCGGGGCCGCCACAACCATAGATACACCATGCCTCACGTTGCATACGTCGGTGAGTGATCCAACCCCCTAGGTACGACCTCACGCATATGAAAGCCCAAGATGCGGGCATTAGCTGCAATTGGCTGATGACCGATGGCCAGCCCACATCCCGGATACCAAAGTGCTTCTGCACGCGGGCGGAGAGCAGCTCAAGAAGTCTGTCAGGGAAGACTGCACGCTGGAAGATGTCGGTGAAGGCCGCCTGCCACTTGGGTGCTCGGGAACGTGGCATTCCTTGTCCCTCAGCTGGCTCGGCAACTCGACGGGCGAGGCTCCATGGGAGCGGACAAGGATTGGGTTCAGCTCGGAAGAACTCGATCACCTCTGCGGGGACGGACGAGTCGCCTCCTTCCCATAGACTCAATGCCATTCGCCCTCCCTCTTTCAGCACTTGGGACGACGGGAAGCCCTTCGCTGCCTCTTCCAAGCGGCAAGCAAAAGGTGGTGCCATCCAGAAGCTCGGGGCCAAGACGTCACTGGCAGCTTGGGAGAACGTGCCATATTCCCAGAGGAGATCACGATGTCGCTGCAGCTGCTCGCGCCATGTCGAACATGTGACCAGAGCTGCTCGAAGCCGTGCGGCAGCAGCAACGCAGAAGACAGAGCTGAACTTCGGGCCGTTCACTGTGCTTAGCGCGAAGCAGTCACCAGTCCGAAGCATACTAGCGGGTGTGCGCATGATGCGAGCCAGCAGAAAGCGCTGCTGTTGCCCAACCCTCCAAGGAAGAGGAACCAGCTGGGCCACGTACGACAGCGTGGGAGCAGCTCTCTGACGATAAAGAGCGGCAGCCGTGGAGAGAGCTGCACCCTGCGAGGAAATTGCGGTAGCACGAGTGGCATGCTTGAGAACAGGAGTCGACCATTGACTATCATCGGTGGCTCCAGGCCCAATCTGAAATCCAAGATATGTACACGCTGAAACAATCGCGAAATCTGCCCAGGCGGGGTCGGCCCCCACAAGTTGGTGTCGAAGTAGGGTTCCGAGTTCAGGCATAGACGGGTCACGAAGAGGAATCACATTGCATTTTGCAGGCTTAAGTCGTAGCTGAGCAAACCTCGAAGCATGTCGAAATACTCGAGCCAAACGTGGATACGCTCTGTTATGGAAGAGGACTGCCCCAAGATCATCCGCACATGCACGAACGACACCCAGGAGACGCCCACGTGCAGCCAGACAGTGTTCTAAGTCCAGAAGGAACGGGTTGCTCGCGATGACATAGAGCGAACCACTCAACGGACAGCCCTGAAGCACCCCTGAGTTCATGTGGTATAGGTACGTCGGAGAGTCGCCGACGAAGTAGCATGGAGTGCAGTGGTAGAGGGAGCGAAGAGCGCGGACCAGAGGGGCAGGAATACGGAGTCGGGCGAGACATTGGAATAGCCACTCCTGGGATACCGACGGGAAGGCCTGGGCAAAGTCAAACGCGATCAACGACGGTGCCTGGGAGGACGCAGCAGGCATAATACTGGCCGATCGAGCGTAGAGGTCCAAATCGACAATATTATCCAGAAAATTTCGCCTCCGAATAAAGCCCCTTTGGGATGGAGCTCCGATCTTCTGCGTCACCCAGCTCATAGTCTGGTTCAGCACACTGCACACCACTTTATTCGAGGAGTTCTTGAGTCCAAGCGGGCGGGTATCACCAGGGGCCCGTACAACACCACCATCGTCGGGATCATGGGAAGGGGCCTTGGGGTCCTTAGGGAGGAAGACGGCCAGCAACGCAGTGAAATTGGAGGGCATGTAATTCCCAAGAGCAATCCAGCGAAGAACCTCGAGAAGGACCCTCGACCCCGAACCACACCTCCAGGCCGCATAGTGAAGCCCATCGGGGCCAGGAGCGGACCAGTTCGACTGTTTCAGCGCACGTTCCACATCTCGAAGGATGGGTGGGCGAACCTCTGAGAAGTCCTCTGAGCTGCTGAATCGGTCTATGTATTTCTTGGCGATAGAGGGGGCGGAGTGGGTCTTGGAGAACACGGGGCCCCAATATGAGGCCAATGCGTCCACCATCGGGGCTTGGGAAGGAGGTGCAGGTTCCGACGTCAGTGGGCCACCCGCCAGCATCTCCGAAACCGAGATCATCTCATTAGCCGTGACCGATGCTAAATACTTACGCCGACAAAGCGGATTCCATAACTGTGCAGACCGAATGATAGCACGACGACGCCCAGCCAGACGAATCCTGACCGTGCTCGACGACGACTGGTTGATCTCTGACTCGAGAGCTTTCCGTCGGGATTCTGCTTCTTGCTGCTGCCACAGACTATGGAGATCATGGAAGCCACCAGGATCAATGAAAGACACAACCTCACCATCTACACGTATGAGACTCTGCGTCCATGGGTGCTGGAATAGGAGAACTCGGGCAAGACGGGCGTCGCTACGCCAGACACAACGCGCAACCGAACGAGAAATCATAGCCCGAGAGGTCAGTGATGATGGTGCAGCACGGCAGATGGCATTGCGTGCAAGAAGCCCAGCAGCCTGCCGAATAGCGGTAGCAGCAGCGAGCATGCGCGGCGGGTCGAAAGCGAGATCCTCAATGCCCACCTGGGATTCCATGTGGGAGACTAGCTGAGCGTAAATCTTGTCTTTGTACACCCAACGCGGGAGGGGCCTCTGTCGTTTCGTTCTGGAATGATCCCGTGGGCGCCAGACGACCTCCAGGGGCGAGTGGTCAGAAATACCCCGATGGGCCAACTCATGAGGTTCATCACGGACCGATACTAGCTGAGCAGTTTGACACAGGAGCCATGGCGGTGAAGCGACAAAGAGACGATCCATTTTG